GCTCTGTGTCACACTGGGACGTGTGTGTCACGCTGTGTGTCACCTGGGTGCCCTCTGACAGTGACACAGTTGGGACCCAGTGCTTGAGCTCTGATTTCAGAGGAAAATTCTCTCTGCACAGCCCAGCTTGTGGCTGCTGGGAGAAAGGAATATTTTTCAAAAATGCTCCTAGATCAAGCACTTCTTTCCTCTTCAGTCTTTCTGTTGAGGGCAGTGGAGCTGTACTTAAAAGTGGCAGTGATTCCAAGGTGTGATTGCTCAGATATTCCTGAATAACCCAATAGTTAAGAGTCAGTAAAAATGCTGGTTTTGAAATGTGCACTCAAACTTTCCCCAGCTATGACGAGTCACCTCATTACAGGATGTTTGAAAAGGAGAAAATGAAATGCATTTGTAAATATTTCCAGTAAATGAAACTTCTTTACACATAATTCATCATGATAAGTGTCATAAATGGGTGATAAGCCTTCAGATACTGGAGTCCAGCTTGCAGATTAGTAAGTCGTGTTTTGGAAGACTTGTGTCCTTTTACAGGAGCCTTATTGTCCCATATTTTACTTTAATTATGCATCATTTTTACATGTTCTAGTTTTATTTCATTTTTTCCTGTTTCCTCTAAGGTGCATTTCAAACCTCCTTGTCTTACTTTCATTTTTGTCTGTAAGATGTGTTGCTCACAGGTGAGTTCTTAGAATTTGATTTTCCCAGGGGCACCTCCATTATCACTCCAGCTATTTTCCTCTCAGGGTCTAAAAGCTGAACTGAGTCAAAATGGAATCTCCCAGTGTTTACAGGGTCTGGTGTTTTTTTGAGGAGTGTGTCTGCATATTTCACATCATTAACAGTGTATTTGCATTTCTTCTGATTTCCTTACTTTTCATAGTCTGTGTTTTCTGATAAGAGGCACTGAATTCCTTGGGTTGGGTTTTTTGGGGGTTGTTCGGGTTTTTTTTTTGTAGCATTCTTAGTCTCAGGTTCATATTTTTTTCACAGGCCTCCTGAATAATCTTAATTGTGCTGTAATTAATAGACTTTTTCAGTGCCTGAGACAAGTGCCAAGCTGGCTGCTTTCTGGATGAATGTGTTGTGTTTGTTTGCAGTACAGGCAGGAGTAAACCCTTTGGTTTTCCCTCTCGTTCCAGAGGAGCCATCCCTTCCTGAGGGCACGGCATTCTGTCCTCCCCTGCCAGCAGTTGTGATCCCTGACAAGGAGTCAAGTTTGGAGCTGTTGGTTGGGTGTTTTTTTTTAGTTTAGGTGTGACTGAACTTGCTGAAATGTGCAGAGAAAACAAGTTCTCAAGCCACTGTCTGATTTGGGTTCAGATTTACCAAAGGTGTCCAGCCCTGCCTGCAGGGAGACAGTTCTGCTTTTAAGCCATTTTTTTTGGTTCAGAATAAGTAGAAATCCAAGTGTCAGGAGCGAGATGGAGACTAAAATGTTCAATTCACATTTTAAAAAAATATTTTATGACAGGGAAATGAGTTTCTGCCTAAAAACTGTGCCTGTCTGTGGAGTGAGACTGTTTTCAGGAGGAGGGTTTGGTTTCAGAGGGCTCAGCCCAGGGTTGCTGTGCTGTGCAGAGTGATGTTGGTGGGGCTGGGAGCTGGGCTGTCCCCCTTCCCTGGTGTCCCCACCCTCTGGCTGTGCCCAGTTTCCCAGTTCCAGATGAGTGGGTGACACCCTGGGCCCCCCTGTGCTTCCATGGAAAATACCCTCATTTAAAATGTGATATCACGGCCTGGAAATGAGTTGGGGTTTGTGCCTGGTGGTGTTACAGGGGCAGTGCCTGCCATCCCACAGTCCCAGGAGCATTCCCTCCCACCCTCATCCCCCTGATCCCAGAGCATTCCCTCCCACCCTCATCCCCCTGATCCCAGAGCATTCCCTCCTATTCTCATCCCCCTGATCCCAGAGCATTCCCTCCTATTCTCATCCCCCTGATCCCAGAGCATTCCCTCCTATCCTCATCCCCCTAATCCCAGAGCATTCCCTCCCACCCTCATCCCCCTGATCCCAGANCCCCTGATCCCAGAGCATTCCCTCCAACCTTCATCCCCCTGATCCCAGAGCATTCCCTCCCACCCTCATCCCCCTGATCCCAGAGCATTCCCTCCCACCCTCATCCCCCTGATCCCAGAGCATTCCCTCCCAGCCCTTGCAGGCCGCTGTCTGTGGAGGCTGGAGACATGGACAGGGAGCCAGGGTGGGATATAAGGTGGCAGAGCCAATCCCTCAGTGCCCTCGCTGTCCCACGGTGCTTCCCCTCCACCTTCCCTCAGTTCTCTTTCCTCCCTGTGTCTTTCCATATCCCACTGCTCCGTCCCCAGATTCCCGAGGCTGCCTCACCCTTTCCCTGGCAGCCTGTCCCGTTCCTGCTCAGCCAGGGAAGAAGGGCCTCCTCTGTGCTCCCTCAATGGGCCCTTGTGCCTCTCACCCGGCTGCTGTTCCCGGGAAGGCCGTGCAGGAGCCAGCCTGGCCACAGGGGATGGAGTTCCAGCCCCAGAGCACCCCAAGGCTCCTCGTTGCTCCCTCTCCAGCAGGTCCTGCCCGAGCGGCCGGGCTGCTCTGCCATGGGAATGGGATGAGTTCCCAGGGAGCTGTGCCCCAGTGGGACTGGCTGTGCCACTCTGAGGTGGCTGAAATGCCACCAAGGGGGTGCAGAGCTTGTAGGTTCTTCTGGAGAACCGTGTGATGGGCCCAGCACCATCCAAAGGAGGTGTGAAGCTCCAGGGATTGGCTGGGAAGGGGACCCTGAGCGTGGCATCCGGGATACATAAAACACAGAGCGAGGTTTCAATCAAATGATTTAGATGATTTAAAAAAAAATGCAAGCAGTGTTTGTGATTCTGTAATTACTCATGGTGGTTTTAGTTATGCCTTCTGGAGTGGCTGGACTTGGGATGTCCTGGCAGGTGACAGGGAAGTATCAGGGACTGCTGCAGCCCAGCTGCCTTTGAAAGCCCTCTCAGGTGCCTTTTGTCTCTGCTTTATGGTAACTTGTTTTATGTGTAACTCTCCTGCTGCATTGGGTGTCTGTTCAGAGGGGGGCTTTTCCAGCTCCTGCTGTAAGACCTGGAGTCATTTAAAGGATTTTGGGCATCCAGGATATAGCTGAAATGTGCTGTCCTTCAGCCTGACAACCACTCAGTCAGCTCACTTCAAACAGGAGGCTGCTGTTTGTCTGAAGAAGGCAGTTTTTAGAAGCAGAGTGAAAGAAGCATCTCGAATTGGAAAGCTGTTTTTATGCCAAGGGGTGGGGATGAGGGTTTGGAGATGAAGGCATCCTTCCCAGGAGGCGTTTGGAGCACAGCAGAGGTGTTTGCTGCTGTCGGGATTTTATCTGCTCTGAGCTGTGGGCTGGGAGGTTTGGGGAGGAGGAGCTCACCCTGTCTGTGAGACTGGAGGATCCAGCACTCAGGGTGAGCAGATTCCATGGGAGAGCAGCAGCCCCGTGTGCCCTGTTGGTTTGGGATCGGGAGCAATGGAAAGGAAACTGAATTTTCATAAACTTGGTCCTGGTAGCCTTGCGGGTGGTTTGGGAAATGAAGGCAGAAGCCAAAGGAACCAAGTGAAAAGCTCCTTTTTTATTGTTTTGCCTTCATCTGAGTAGGATTAAGAAAAGGAACACTAGAAAGTGCATCTGATTTCTTGCAGCAGCGTGGAAGATCAGGGAGTTGTGGTGAGCTCTGTTTGCAGCAGAGCTCCAGGGACATGTCACTTCTCCTGGCAGTGGGAAGGTGAAGCTCAGGGCAAGCTTATCCTGAGACCTTTCCATGGAAAAGGGAGAAGGAACAGGAGAGGGTCAGAACAGCTTGGGCTGTGTAAGGTCCTGTCCCTACTGTGGCTGAGCAGTCCTTGTAAATGGTCCAGCACTTTGCTGTGGGATGTTCTGTGTGTCCATCAACACTGAGTAGCCCCTATTCCTACTTATAAAATAAAGACAACAAAAGGTTTGGAACTATTTAGTTTAATTCCAAACCACAAAAAAGCTGAAGAATGCAATTTTTCAAATATTCTTTAAAATAGTCTCTGTGTAAAGGTGTATGCTCTAAAAGCCCTGTTGGGAGCACAGTTTCTCCCATGAATAAAAGTTTGGGAGCTGTATGGCAGCACCATCAGGGAAATATCAAAGATGTCTTTAAAAGGGCTTTGGGTTTGTGTGTGTGACTGAATTCTGATCTCAAGAGGTTTTGATAAAGTTTCTCAAATGGCAAACCTGGAATTCCCAGTCACACAGATGGATGTTTGTGTGAATCTGGTCTCACTTTTACTCCACACAGATATTTTCTCCTTTCAGATGTTACAGGGTGAAACTCTAGGTTTCAAGTACGGATATTTCTAGCACCTAGTAAATGTCTTTTCCTCCTACTGCTTCATGGTGGCACCAAAGGAAATGGTTCTGAGCTGGAGCCAGGGTTGGCATTAGAGATGGAGGAATTTGTGTGTCCTCATCACTGCTTAAAATAGAAGCAACAATTAATCTTCCTCTGCAACCCACAGGAAAAGGAGCTCCATTGGTTTGGGGGTGTTCGTGTGCACGAGTGAAATGATTTTGTTCTCAGTGAGTTAGTGGGAGGAACTCGAAAGCTCTTGAAGGAAGAGTTCCTTTGGAGGGTGGTTCTTGGCGTGCTCTGTGTTAGTGAGCCCTGACTTCTTCACCTGCGGGGAGGAGCGTTCTCTGCCCTGTGTTGTCCCCTGGCAGCTCACCCTCTTGTGTAGGTCCAGCCCCCGGGGAAATTATGCCTCCCATCACCCCCAGGCTTGTCCTGCTCAGATGCTTTCAGAGTCAGGAGAGGGATGAGGGTGTTTTTGGGTAGTTTTGGTCTGTTAAATGTTAGTGACATCTCCGTGGGGCTGAAAACGTGGTGGTGAAAACTGTCAGCAGAGAGTTCATGGTACTGTTTGAGTTTTAACTTAGTGCACACACAAAGGAGCTGGCACATACAGAGCTTCCTCAGCTGTGATTCTGTGGTAAGATTGTTCTCTTTTCCCCAACCAGGCATCTTTGCTTACCTGAACTACCATGTTCCCCGGACGAGGCGGGAGATCCTGGAGACCCTCATCAAGGGGCTCCAGCGGCTGGAGTACAGGGGCTATGACTCTGCAGGTACCTCTCCCTTCAACAACACTGCCTCTTCTTTTGAGTTTTGGCTTGTAAGTGATGGGTTTTGTGGTGTAATTGTGAATGGTTTCTACTGTCTTCTACTGTTGAAGAAAACTGAAACAAACTGGATGTGCCTGTGGTCAGGTGGTCAGAGGTTTGGATTAACCTTCAATACACAGATTTCTATAAACATTCTTGATGCCTTTTTTTTTTTCTAAGGCTTTAAAAATACTGACAAGGGTGGCAAAAGGAAAACTTATTTCTGCTCTGAGGGGTTTCTTGCCTGTATGTGGAAGGAGAAAGGGCACTGGAAAAAGAAAAAAGGGCAGTATTGGTTTGCTTCAAAGATTGTAATAACTTCTGCACTTCACTCTCTTTCTCCACATCCCATGGTGGTGCTTAGGTGTGGGACTGGATGGTGGAAACGACAAAGACTGGGAAGCCAATGCCTGCAAAATCCATATTATCAAGCAGAAGGGCAAAGTGAAGGCCCTGGATGAAGAGGTTCACAGTGAGTATCTCCCTTTCCTCCTTTGCCTGCCCTCTTCCCTTGAGCTGTCCTCTCCCCTCGTTTGGGTTTTGGATATCACCTGTTTTACCCACCAGCACTGGATTTCCAAGTGACCTGGGTGTGTAGAGCCAGAGGTGTCAACACTCACCCCTGTGCTGTGAAGGCACCATGTGCTGTGAGCACTCCCCAGTGCTCCTGTGGGTGTGGGGTGAAGGCACAGAGAAGTCCTGATTCCTTGAGACAAATCAGTCACAGCCTGTTAAAGTAAAATAGACCTGAAATATGTTTTAAAAAGGACCTAAAAACCCCAAACAAAATCAATCCTTAAGATGAGAGATACTTATCTAGAGCTTGAGCAGAAAGGAGAAATGCTCTAATAACTCACCAGGTGGATTTTAACTGTTGTAACGCTTGTCCCAGCTCAGTCTGTCCATCTGGGGGTGATGGGCTCTGCAGGTGGCTTTGGGAAAGCACTGGTGTGTGACACTGTCACATCATGAGAGCAGGCAGTGAGGGCTTCTGCAGCCCTTTCTGCTTCTCTGTGTTCCCTTGATTGAGATGTTAAGTTCATTAAATCTGAGCTTGATGCAAAGACACAGAGTTGTTGGGAGTGGGATACAGGTGGGCTGTGTGAGGGTGGGGAAGTGCTTTTCAGAGCAGTCAGGATCTCTGTTTCACATCCCAAAGCTGCTCTGTTGATGTCACTCAAATCTTTTTAACCCACTCTTGTGTTACCCTCAGGTGCAGAGTGTTGTGTGTCCCAGAGGGAGGTGGGTTGGTCTGCTCTGGGTGTAAACCAGGAGCCAGAAAGGCCAGATGAGGTGGGGTGTGTGGTACAGAAACAGGAGAGAGATAAAGGATTCCTGAGGAAACGTTTGTCTGCTCAAGAAAGTTGCAGGATAGTTTTAAAGAGGTTGTGGAGACACTTGTGGAACAAAAGGAGTATTTTTTTCCCAAAGAAATATTATTGCTAATGGTACATTTTCTAGAGACAGGGGTTAGGGATGAATAACTAAGTGGTGTGTAGCCATGAGGTGGGCTGGCACAGTCAGAGGTGACAGGTCACAGGGGCATCCTGAGAGATAACAAGGTTGGATTCTTTCTTAAAGGTTATTTTGTGTTTTAGCAAGGTGAGGAATGCAGGGTGATTGCTTGTGTCCATCTGCATTGTCCATCCCTGGAAACACCTTGGTGTTTTGGTTGGACTTGATGGTCTTAAAGGTCTTTTTCAGCCTTAACAATCCTGTGATTCCGTGTCCTGTGGGATTTGCTGGTTCTGTTTCCCTGCCAGCATTCCTGTCCTGTGATCCCTGGAGGCCTGGGGAGACCCCCACCTTGCCTTGGGGTAGGGACAGCCCCTCAGGACTAAAACCTTCCCCTTCTGCTGCAGAGCAACAGGACATGGACCTGGACATCGAGTTTGATGTGCACCTGGGGATCGCCCACACGCGCTGGGCCACGCACGGGGAGCCCAACCCCATCAACAGCCACCCCCAGCGCTCCGACAAGAACAACGGTGAGTCCCCAGCCCCTGCAGCCTCTGCAGGAGCTTCCTGCTGCCTCCCCTGCCCTGGAGGGGTGGCTGGACCCGGGCTGGGGGTTTATTCAGTGGTGCTGAGCCCAGCTGAGGGGAAGCTGCAGGGGCTGGACTCGGTTTTTGGCCACGGGGTGTGTTGGCAGTGAGGGGTGATCCCAGGGAGGGGTGGGGTTGGTGCCCAGGGGTTGGGTGGGTGTGTGGGCACAGAGCAGGGAGGTAAAGGCAGAAGGAAATTGGATGGTGAGAACTCTCGTGACCGTTCCTTGGAGCAGGATTTTGTATACTTTTTTCCCCATTTATTTTGGTTTTTCCCTGATCCCACTGCACAGAAGGGGTTGTTGTGCTTGGGGCTGTCACAGTGTGGGTTGTGATGGGTGTAGCTGCCCCAGGAGCAGCAGGGAGTTTAATTGCTCCCAGCAGGATGGAAGCTGCCAAGTGCCTGAGTGACTCTAGAAGCTTTGCAGGATCTTGGCAGCCCTGGTCCCACCCAGGTCACTCTTATCCTCTGCCATTCCCAGCCACACCAGTGGGGCAGAGCAGAGAATCCCAGCAGGAGGTGAATCTGCTTTGTTCTGCCAAGTGCCTCTCCCACAGTGACGTTCTGTGGGCTCTGGGGTCAGTTCCATGGCTGTGGGCTTTGCTGCCAGGCTGGGGCTGGTGCTGGTGCTGAACAGGGCCTTTCCTCTGTCCCCAGAGTTCATTGTCATCCACAATGGCATCATCACCAACTACAAGGACCTGCGGAAATTCCTGGTGAGTGACCCCTGGGTGTGTGTGGGACACTCCCTCCCTGCCTTCCCACTCACCTGTGCTCACACACTTCCCACTCACCTGTGCTCACACACTTCCCACTCACTCCCCCACTTGTATTCTCACACTCACTTTCCCACTCGAACTCCCCCACTCGCATTCACACTCCCCACTTGTCCTGTTCCTTCACTCACTCCCCAGATCTCATTTTCACTCCTTCCACTCCCCCACTCACGTTCACTCTCCTCCATTCACATTCCCCCACTCCTATTTGCACTCACCTTCACTGAGACTCTCACAGTAACTCTCCTACTCCTGAGTTCCATCCCCCCATTCCCTCTCTACCTCACCCCCTCTTGCCTTCCCACTCCCATCCCTCCTCACTCCCCCACTCATATTCTCACACTCATACTCACTGCAGTGCTCACTCCCCCAATTTACACTCCCTTCTTGATCCCTCACACCCCTGCTCCCACTCCCATTCTCCCATTCTCTCTGTTCACATTCCCTCTCTCACACCCCCTCATTATTCCACTCACTCCTTCTCCCTCCCCACTCATGCTCACATCCCCCTCCTCCTCACTCCCCCGCTCATGTTCTCACACTCACCCCTTCACTCTCACTCTCTTCCATTCTGCACTCACTCCCACTCACTGCCCTGTGCTCCCTTCCTCATATTCTTGCAGTTTGAAAGGCAGGAAAGAAGGATGAAAGGAAAATGTGAAGTGAGGAGAGAAAGAAGGAAAAAATGAAAGGCGTAAAAGGAAGAGGAAAAGTAGAGGGAAGAATTCAAAAAAAGATGGGAGAAAAGAGGAAGAACAACTGCAGTATGGAAGGATAAAAAACAAGGAAAGAAGGAAAGGCGGGAAAGAAAAAGGGCAGGCAGAAAAAAAAAGAAAGGCAAGAAAAAGGGAAGGAAAAGGAAAGATGGGGAAGGTGGGAGCAAAGAAAAGGAAAGTTATGAGGAAAAGGTCAGAAAAGTCAAAGGGAGGGATAAAAAGGAAAAGCAAGAAGAAAAGTTAGGAGAAAGGAAGGAAAAGCAAATGCAGGAACAAAGGGAGGAGGGAGAGGGGAGGGAAGGCAGAGGGCTGGTCACCCACACGTGCTGTCGCTGCAGGAGAGCAAAGGCTACGACTTCGAGTCGGAGACGGACACGGAGAGCATCGCCAAGCTGGTCAAGTACATGTACGACAACCGCGACAGCGACGACATCAGCTTCACCACCCTGGTGGAGAGGGTCATCCAGCAGCTGGTAATGCTGCCAGGGCAAGGGCACCCAGCACAGATACACTGCCCAGCAGCTGGTAATGCTGCCAGGGCACCCAGTACAGACACACAGTGCCAAAGACAGCACTGCTTCACCACCCTGGTGGAGAGGGTCATCCAGCAGCTGGTAATGCTGCCAGGGCAGGGATCCAGCACAGACACACAGTGCCCAAAATCAGCAGCTGCCCTCCAGCACTGCCCAGGGCAGCCTGCCCCTGCCACCACTGCAGGATGCTCGGGGGCACATTTCTGTCTCTCCTGCCTCTGGCAGTTCATCTCAGACATGCCTTTGGGTTTCTTTAATATTAGTCAGTACTCATCTGGAAAAGGTCTCCATTTTGGGGCACAGCAGCCCTTGGAGGCTGCCAGTCCCCGGGGTGTGGGGGGCTGAGTGTGGGAGGTGGGAGCTGGCCTGGGAGAGATTGTGTGAAGGTGAGTCTGTGCTTCCAGTCCTTCCTGAAATCTCCATCTGGGAGAGCTGCTGACCCCTTGTGGGAACTCCACCGCAGAGCCTCTGGTTCCACGTGTCAATCTGTGCCCAGCCATGTGCAGGAACAGGATCCATCACAATTTACCTCTCATCCCAGAGCACCTCATTCAGGAGAGTTTTTCAGTGATTTCCCTGCCAGGAGCTCTTGTAGCAGCAGGCCAAGAGCGTGTGTTGCTGGCAGGTTTGGCTCACCTGTACGTTCTGTGCCACCTCACCTGGGCAAACACCCCAAGGTTTTGGTGCTTCCTTTGCCTTTGTAGGTCCCTTCACTGTGCTCTGAGCTAATGCAGGAGCATGGGGTGGGTAACCAAGGCTGTCTGGCTGCAGTGTCTTCTGGGGTTCAGAACACTCATTCCATGGTTAAGGATGCACTGCCTGGGCTCAGGGGAGGGAGATCCTTCCAGGGTGAGGGGGCTGCAGCTACAGGTGGTTCTGAGACATCTGTGGAACCACCTGTTTGGTGTATCTTCTTTGTTCCCAGAAACATGGGACCAGCTTCTGTACTGGGAATACTGAAATGGTGCCCAGGCCTCACGTGAAAGGATAAACAGTTTGTGTTTCTCTTGTTCCAGGAAGGTGCTTTTGCCCTTGTGTTCAAGAGCGTTCACTATCCTGGGCAGGCCGTCGGTACCAGGTAAATGTGGTAGAGGTTGTTTTTATCACACTGGATGTGCTGGGCTGAGAGAGGCTGTTGTTTTTAATTTCCTTTCTCCTATTTTCCATCTACCATAACAGAAAATTCCCAGAGATATTTGGAAAATGTCTTGGTGACCAGCTGTATCACACCTGGTCTGGTTGCGATATCACACCTGGTCTGGTTGTGATAAAAAAGCTTTGGGGGTTTTTTTGTATACTCTGGTTGTGATTTGAAAGAAGATGGTTTTATCTTTTATTTGGTGCTGTTGTGGCAGCACTTGGGTGGGTCCTCCATTTGACCTGGAAGCTGGGCCAACCCCATGTTCAGGTTTTCTGCCTGACTTTTACACATCAACATCAGCTGGGTTGGTTTAGCCACACATGTGCCTACACAGGTGTTGAGTTTTGGTGCCAATGCCTGTTTGTGGGTACGTGCAGTGAGGAACAGTTCCCAGTTCAGGTGTCTGTGGGATTGCAGTGACTCTGGCAGAGTTTTCTCTGACCTTCAGACAGGTTCCTCACATCCTTGTGTTGTGTTCGTTCCGAGATCCTCTCGCTCTGTTGTGGCCTCTCCTGTTTGCAGTGGCTCTGGGAGGCTCTGGAGGCCCAGCTGCCGTGCTGGGGTGGGCTGAGGGTGGGCTGTGTCTGAGGCTGTCCTGCTGTTCCTGCAGGCGAGGCAGCCCCCTGCTCATCGGCGTGCGCAGCGAGCACAAGCTCTCCACCGACCACATCCCCATCCTGTACCGCACCGGTGAGTGGGACCCTTCCCTCTCCCAGGGCACGGGCACAGATCCTGCAGAGACCTGTGTGCCTTGGGATGCAGATTGTGCTTTTAAACTGTTCTCTGTAAATCGTAAATTAAGCCGTTATCAGAGATTTTTTTAAAGTAGGTTTTTAACACGTGCTCTGCCACCACATCCCTTGTGTCAGTCTCCGATTTTATAATCAAAGCTTTAATGTCCAGTGGTTGCAAGGAAAATACATCTTAATAGAATAAAATGGAATCATAGGGTCACAGAATGGTTTGGGTTGGAAGGGGCCTTAAGGCCCATCTCATTCTACCCCCTGCCATGGGCAGGGACACCTTCCACTATCCCAGGTTGCTCCAAGCCCCGTCCAACCTGGCCTTGGGCACTTCCAGGGGTGTTAGAATAGTTCAGTACAGTACAGGTAACAGTATAGTTAAACACAGATACTCAGATGTGTATTCTGTGTGTGGCATATTGGCATTCCTAGACCTGGCTGTTTTCAAGAACAAAAATGACAGAACTTTTTAGGTTGGAGGCTTGGCATGATCCCAAACCTTTCCCTCACCCCCCAACAGCACTTTTAAGCATCAGAATTGTCACACACCCTTTGTGTGACCATCTGTATTTAACATGTATTTATGTTGTCTGTCTGTCTGTCTCACACGAGGGTTTTGCCACCACACACAGTTGCACCCTTGAAAGTGAGAAGGGACTGAGAATTACCCTGTAATTTGCTGTTGTCGGAAGGGTCTGAACCTGTTCAGTCCCTGGGCCCTGGACTTGTGTTCTGAGCAGTGCAGGGATCCAAAGGAGTTGATCCAGAGCAATTGCTGTCCTGTGTCTTGCTGCTTCCTAACGGTGTAGCTGCTCCCTTGCTGCAAGAACCAGTGCCAGCAGCTTTGCCTCTTGGTTGTGTTGGATAATTAGCAGTAATCCTTTATGTATGTATGTAACACTGTGTTTATTTACTGAGTGTCTGAAGTTTGGTTTGTTTTTTTTCCCAATTGCACTTCCAGCTGTACAATCTATGGATCATTCTTTTGATGGAATATCCATAAAAATGGAGGAAGGTGCCTACCAGAAAAAAGCTAATACTGGAAATTTCAGACAAATCCTCCAGTTCTTTAGGAAAGGAATCACAGATGACACAAAGATGCATTGTCTCTTTAATATGTGGTTATTGCTTTCTGTGTAGGGTAGTGAAACAAGTGGGATAACCAGAATTTCTTCTTGATCAGAAACACCATGAGCAACACGCAGGAAAATCCACCCACCATCCCATTTCAAATATTGGGACATAATGCTCAGCATATGTGCAAAACTGATGACAGTGCATGTTCCCTGCAGCTCTGACTACAGGAGGAAACAGTAAATTACCTTAGAAAACAAAGCCCACTAAACTAGGAGGCTGCTAATAATCCTGATGCAGGCACTGTCCAAAATTCCTTCTGGAATTCTGGTTGTCAGAGCTGCATCTTCCCCCTGACTGTGGTGTGAGGCTGAGCTGCAGCCTCTGGTCGAAGCATTAAAGTTGGCCTGAGGCTGGAACTTCTTTCTCTCTGCTCATTTATCAGGGTGAGCCATTTTTAATTCACATTAAGTACTTAACTTTTTTTAAAGGCCAACCCATCACATGTGATGTGAGGCACTGAGTTCACATCTGAAGCAGGGGAGCCCTTTTTTGTGAGAGAAAAGATCTGATTCTTGGTGGCCTCAGGCACTGGCAGCTCAGTGGGTGGGATCTCAGAAACCCCTCTTGCTGGAGGAGGAACAAACCTGGGTTTGTGGAAAGGTGCACTGTGTTCTCTGCCAAGAGCTGGTTTACCTGGCTGCAAACATCAGGTGAGATTTTGTTTCTTTTTAGCAAACACAGCTCTCAAGTCAGTGTAAAGTGTTGAGGGTAAAATTCTGATTAACCTTAATTCCCAGGGACTTCAGGAACCAAAGTACCTCAGCTCTCAGGGAGGCTGAAAAACTGAGTCCCCTACCCATTTTTACTGTACCTGTGTTTATTTTCCATGGTGTCTCCACTTTTGATTCAGAAGGGAAAAGAGTGAAGGAATAAAGGATTACCTCTGTGTTGCTTCTAAATTCTAGTAAATGGGGGGTTGGTGCTGGAGAGCAACAGTCCAGATTATCTGTAGATAAATGGACAATCTGTGGACAAATCCATAGATAACATAATAATCATAATTGGCTGATAATGCTCACTGCAACTTCCCAACCCCTCCTTGGAAATCACACACACTGCACGTGTGTGTGCACAGTAAGAACATGTTCCAGTTCCAGCTCAGTGTAGAATCTGGAATACAGGAAAGCAATGCAACATAATAAAGTCAATGCAGGGAAGTGTTATGTTTTAAGAAACCAAATTTGCATGTTTTGATCAGGTCTGGGTGCTTCTCTTGGGGAATGGCCACTAACAAACAGCTCTGCTCTGTCCTGTCTCAACACCAAATCAGCCTGTCCTGTCTCAGCTCAACAACCAAGATGTTGTTCTCCTCATTTACTGACTTAATAACTCAAGTGGAGGGCTCTAAATCCTTGCTGAGTGGACCTTTCTTCCCGAGTACCAACATGAAAGCAGTATTTTTTCTTTACATTTTCATTTGCAGAAGTACAAATCTAAACACCATGAGCTGTACTTACATCACTGAATCAGATCACTGTCCAGTAGGTGAAACAACATCAGGATTATGGAATAAATATAGAATAGAGTAACTTCAGTGCTGTTGTTCTTCAGCAATAGCCACATTTTGGTAGATAAGCTGATTAATCCACCCCCACCCTTCCCATACAGTGACTGGCAAATGATGTTGCTGGAGGCCAGTGCTGAGCAGTAGGTGTTGGGTCCTCATCTGCATTCCTGAGGAGCTTCACCACTGAGAGGTATTTTTTGAGGAGGAAGATCAGAGAGTATTGGGAATTAGCAGAGTATTCCAGAAAGGATCCCTGGTGGATTTCTCTAAGGCTGAGCACAAGTTTTTCCGAAGCTGCCTCTCAGTCCTGTCCCCTCCAGCACACCTGGATCCCTCCTGGCAACAGCCCAGGACCCACAGCAGGTCTGATTTTTTGGATCAGAGCGAGGTGGGTGTATTTGATAGCACAGGAACAACGCTGAGCACTTAATCCTGGATTTCCTGAGCTGTGTCTGACCATGAGCTCAGCCAGACAGAACTGGGCTTGGGCTACATCTGCCGTGCTCAGTGGAGCACTGTGGTTGCACAGGTGGCAGCTCTGAAAGAATTTCCCCAGTGCTGAGAATAATTGACAAAAAAAGAGCAATCCTGCTCCATTTCTGAGAGCCTCAGGAGAGTCAGTGAGGCAGGAGCAGGGGAGAAACTCAAAATCACACCCAGGGCAGGTTCGAGTGGGTGAATGTGGCTGCTCACGAAGCAGCTTGAATTCTCTGCTGGTGGAGCCACATAGAACTTCCATTTGAGTTTTTACTTACATTTTCCTCTACACTTAAAACCCTGCACTAACACTACACTTGCAGATTGAATTGGAGAGGACATAAACCCCTTGCAAGCAAACTGAGAACGGGCACAACACCACTGAGTGCTGCTGTGCTGCCCTGTCCCGTCACTGCTCCACTCCCTGTGACCACCCACGGGGATCAAAACAGTGCTTCATGTTGGTACCGAGCCTTGGGGCCTCTCTGGGTCTGACCTGTGCCCAGTGTGTCCGTGTGGGCAGCTCCTGATCCTCGTGTCTTCCAGGGAAGGACAAGAAGGGAAGTTGCAGCCTGTCCCGTGTTGACAGCACCACCTGCCTCTTCCCCGTGGAGGAGAAAGCTGTGGAGTATTACTTTGCTTCTGATGCCAGGTAAGGTTCTTCAGCCTCTTTTAGTGTATATAAAATATGCTGTTTAAAGGTGAGGCCTTGAACAAGAGATGGGGAGGTTGTGGTTTCTTTGTGAATAAAGGAAATGGTGTGTATGTGGCCATTGCTTTACAAATATTAACAGAATCAGTTTCTGTTCAAGGAATGAATGCTCTCCTTGGAGTAGTGGTGTTACCCTTCTTCAGGCACATCTGTTGATAAGATTTCCTACTGATAGGAAACCTGAGAGAGTACTGACCTAAATTAACAGGACAGATGCTAATTACCAGGAGAATTGTGTTGATTCTCTTCAAACATGCAATTCCTTCATCATCAAAGGTGTCTTACTGTAATCCCAGAGGGAGGAGAGACTAACTTGGCTGCAGCCTTAGCAGAGCTTTTGGATTCTCTGTATTAGGGAAATGAATGCTTGCTCCAGGAATGTAAAAATCCTGCAGGGGTTGACTTCTGCAGCTCTTTTCATCAGGGTATTTTGGAGAGTCTTAGGACACCCTGATGTGTTCTGGTTTTAAAGCTTTTCAGTGACTTGCTCAAGGTCAGGACAAAAGCTACTAAAATAGGGAGCTGCTGTACCTGAGCTCAGCTGAGAGAGAGCACAGACTAAAACCTGGCCACAGATGTTAAATCCCTCTGGTAATGCCAGTATTGACCCTCCCCAGGTAAACTGCAGGCAGGGGAGGTGTTTGATAGTATCTAATTCTTGGGGTGCTTCTGAGCAGATCTCAGTGGGCTGTACCAGGGGGCCAAGCTGTCCCCAGTTCTGCAGATGGGGAAGGTAGCCACAGTGGCTTATCCCTGGAAAAACCCAGGAGGGAACCTGCTCCTCTGGCTGAGCAGCCTGTGTGCCAAGGCAAAGCACTGTCCTGGCTTCACTGCCCAGCTCCTGATGGTCACATCCCAGTGCTGCACACGCTGCTGTGTCTGAGGAGTGCAGAGTTTCTCCTTAAAGCAGACACTGAAATTAATAATGAGCTGGGTGGAAAAAATCCACTTCCATTGGCAGGGTGGGAATGCACTTTACGGGACTCGTCTGATTTTAAGAGAAATTCCTTTGAAATGAGCAACTTTCTCGGATCAGAAGCTGTGTGTTGGGCTGGGGAGGGGCTGCAGCTGTGGGAGTCTCACGTGAGTGCTGTGTGTCCCCAGTGCTGTCATCGAGCACACCAACAGGGTGATCTTCCTGGAGGACGACGACGTGGCGGCCGTGGTGGACGGGCGTCTGTCCATCCACCGCATCAAGCGCACGGCCGGAGACCACCCGGGACGGGCCGTGCAGACCCTGCAGATGGAGCTGCAGCAGATCATGAAGGGTGAGAGCTCCTGGGGTCACCTGTGCGGATGCACAGGCCCTCCCTGCAAACACAGATAAATGAGGGTGGAAGAGACCTCTGGAGGTCACCTGGGCCAGTCCCTGAGCCAGGACCAAGCAGACCGGGGTGTTCAGGCAAACCAGAGTGTTCAGTCAAGGCTGGAGCATCTCCAAGGACAGAAGCATTTGGACAATGCACTCAGGCACATGGTGTGACTCTTGGGTAGGGCTCTACGCAGGGCCAGGAGTTGGACTCAATAATCCTTGTGGGTCCCTTCCAACTCTGCGTATTCTGCGATTCTGTGAAATCCCACAGCCTGTCTGAGCACCTGCTCCTGTGCTTTATTACCCTCATGGGGAGAAAAGTCCTTACATCTGATGGGACTTTCCTTCTTGCTGTTAACACAATAATGGGGACAATTGTGGGGCTGAGAATTTTACCTCCTCGGAGCCAGCCATTTTTTCCAAGATTGATCCCTAGCAGACTTACCATTCTGGATCTGCCCCTTCACTTACACCTTCTAGGAATTTGAATCGAGCTCTCATGATGAGCTGATGCTTTGGCAGAAAAAGAAGTATCAATTTAATAATCTCTGACTGGTAACTGGCCCGTTAGTGACTCTGCTCCAGGCTTCTCCCTATAAACACAGGAAAAATTTCAATTACCAGGAGGTAATTTAAAATTGAAGTTACCAGGAGGTAAAGTGTTCTAATCTGTTTTCTTTCTTTTTCTTCATAGGCAACTTCAGCTCATTTATGCAGAAGGAAATATTTGAACAGCCAGAATCGGTCGTTAATACGATGAGAGGAAGGGTCAACTTTGATGACTACACTGGTAATTGAGACTGAGCCTCCTTCCTTTCTGACAGCTCAGTGTCCAGCAGTTGCTCACAGCAGTTACAGTGGAGGCAGCAGGGGATGATGTGGGGGATGAGAACCTTGCTGGTGTCAGATGGTGTGTGCCCCAGGGTGCCTCCAGAATTCCATGTGCTGGGGGCAAGATCTTTTTGTGATGTTTGTTTGCTGAGCGGTTGATGGAGGTGGTAACACATCGTGGTAGCACCAGTGATCTTGGCTACCTGGCCCCCCTAATTTCTGTCTTTGAATCTTCTTACAGTGAACCTGGGTGGGCTGAAGGATCACATCAAGGAGATCCAGAGGTGTCGGCGTCTGATCCTCATCGCGTGTGGCACAAGTTACCACGCGGGCGTGGCGGTGAGCGAGGGCTGGGCTGGGAGGGGGCTCAGCTGGGCTTCAGCAGCAGGCACAGAGTCACAGAGCCAGGAATGGCTTGGGCTGGGAGGGGCCTTAAAGCCCATCCAGTCCCAGGGACACCTTCCACGAGCCCAGATTGCTCCAAACCCCGTCCAACCTGGCCTTGGACACTTCCAGGGATGGGGCAGCCACAGCTTCTCTGGGCAACCTGTGCCAGGGCCTCCCCACCCTCACAGGAAAGAATTCCTTTCTGACATCTGATCTTAGTCTACCCTCTTTCAATTTGAAGCCATCGCCCCTTGTCCTGTCCCTTCATCCCTTGTCCCAAGTCCCTCTCCAGCTCTCCTGGAACCCCTTCAGGCACTGGAAGGTGCTCTCAGGTCTCCCTGGAGAGTGCGTAGAGAGTGCAGGCAGGCTAAGGACTGATTTCAGGTTCAGATGGAGCCAGTGCACTCAGGTGAATGAAGACTCTCATGAAAGCTGCAAACACCAGACTTGCAGTTATAGCAGCAGTAGGAGGAAAAAAAGCTGAAGAACCTGAATACTTATGGAAATGTTGCCTGTGGCTTTCGTGGTTATGGAAGTCTTTAAAAACCAAAACCTGCTCTATTGTAAAAGACAGCTGGCAGGGGAAGGACAGTGCAAGAGCAGAATGCAAATGGTGCATCAAGGCAGGGGCTGCCACGAGCCAGGAAGGATTTCCTGCTCTGCTGTGTGGACAGTGATGGGATGGGCCTGCAGACATCCCTGTGCTTGCCCAGTGCAGCAGTTCCTCTCTGTGTCTCAGAGCAGCACTGACTGTGCCTGCAGCCACAGTGGGGTTCTGTCCTCAGGGTCTGACCCCCCATCGCTCACAGGGTCGCTGGAGCCTTTCTGGGGGGTAGCTTGGCAGCCTGAAATGTTGCAGTTAAAAGTGCTCACAGCTTTCCAGAGGAATCCTTTCCTCCTCTCAGCAGTGCTGCAGAGCACAGCGATGGGAACTGACTGACAAGGGCCACAAGAGAACACGTTTGTCCCTCCTGATCAGCCCTGTGAGATAATTCAAACATGGACTAGCCAACAGCCTCTGGCCTGGCCTGGGTATAGGTGCTGGTTTCTGAGTTCAAGGTACAGTCTGACAGAAGGACACCCTGCATTATATAATACATACTGAGGATTATATAATAAGTGAGACTGACTTGAGAACAGTCTCCCTGTGAGGGAGGAGTTTGTGCTGCCAAGGCAAGGGCACGTTACCGGGGGCAGTTGGTGACTTGAGTGTGGGCCTACTGAGTAACCAAAACATAACCCAGCACTGATACTCACCTGGGATTTGGAGAGTAATATTTTCCAGTGTGTGGCAACTAGAAGGCTTCTTTGTGCTGCAGACACTTGGTTTTATAAACATGATGTCATACCTGCCATCTCCTCGTCCCAGACCCGGCAGGTGCTGGAAGAACTGACTGAACTGCCTGTGATGGTGGAACTGGCCAGTGACTTCCTGGACAGAAACACCCCCGTGTTCCGAGACGACGTCTGCTTCTTCCTCAGCCAGTCAGGTACAGCTCCCTGCACTCCTCCTGCCTGCACACAGCAGGGAGGGAGGGCAGGGGCAGCAGGGCCAGACCCTGGTGCTCGTCTGTGCTTTGCTGTGGGACCTGTGAGGGGAGGACTGGGCACATGGAGCCTGGAGATGGGGAGAACCAGAGTGGTTCTGCTCCCGTCCATCTGCAGGGTTTGGGTGGCTGGGCTTTACATATGGTAACAGTGATTTTGTTTCCTTTCTCTGTGAGGAATTATTCCATCAATCAACAGACTAAAGCATGCTGCTGAGCTCTGGGGAAAGGCAGCTCTTTGGAATAGATGTAGTTCTCTAGTTAAAGCACTGCCATATGGTGGATTGGAGCCACTGAAGAAATGAAACTATTAGACACAAGTATCAAAAAACACAACCACCTTGGAATGGAGTAGGAGATAAAAGGCACACTGAAGCATAAAAAAAAAGTATATGATGTGTATCATATTCATATTTTCAAAGACAACTGCAATACAAAAATACATTGTTTTTCCCTCTTAGTTGCATTTACCATTTCAGATTTTTATGACTGATCTTCAGCTGTGACACTAAAACCAGTCATTGCTTTATCCCCACAGGTTAAAATACTCTTTTGGTAGCAATTTTGTGTTCTCAGTAGCAAGTGTTTCAAACTATCCTCTTTGAGGGACTCATGGTCAAGTTCTCCCCAGGGAGAACTGTCCCAGTCGAACAGGGAACACTCCTTAGGGCACACGAGGGGCTCCATCTTTCCCCTGAAGTGTTGGATATGGCAACCTAACACAGATTGCCCTGGAACCTGAGCTCGCTCACCAGGCAGTACAAACCCAAAGTGAATACTGAGCTCAAAGAACTGTTTCCCCCCACCCATAAATCTGGTTCTGGCCATAGATTCCCACCCTGCAGGACTTGCTGTAAGTGGAGCAGTGAGCAGGGCAGGTTTGGGCACTGAGGGATGAGGGCACTAAACTAGCCTTGGGGTTTCTGTTCTCTGTTGTCACTTCGCATGTGCAGCACTCAGGGGTGTGTCCTTTTAGGACTAAAGCAAACTGGTGACACAAGCAGGGACACACAGCACCTTCTATTCTTATCCCATCTCTGAGATCAGCTCATGAGCAGCTCCAGGCATCCCTAATATGTTTTTCCCTCACCCCTCCCTGCCCCAGGTAAATTTTTATTAACCAGAAAAAGGAAGAAAGTTGGGTTTGTTGAAGAAAATACCCTTTTTGTCCCCTTTTATTGTGAACCACATCAGAACACTGAGTTTTCCTTGCCCCAAATCCCGTTGTTAGGTTTTGTGTTCGGTAGCTCTGCCTGTGCTGTGTTCAGGGCTCAGGCAGTGTGCTGGGGCTGGGGGAGCTGCTGCAGCAGGCACAGAGGGGAAAAGGCAGCAGGACCCAGCCCCTCCCTCCCGTGTGTGCAGGTGAGACAGCAGATACCCTGATGTGCCTGCGGTACTGCAAGGAGAGGGGAGCCCTGACCGTGGGCATCACCAACACCGTGGGCAGCTCCATCTCGCGCGAGACCGACTGCGGGGTGCACATCAACGCGGGCCCCGAGATCGGCGTGGCCAGCACCAAGGTGAGCCCAGCCCCAGGGTGTGCCCAGCACCAGGGTGAGCCCAGCACCAAGGTGAGCCCAGCACCAGGGTGAGCCCAGCCCCAGGGTGAGCCCAGCACCAAGGTGAGCCCAGCACCAGGGTGAGCCCAGCACCAAGGTGAGCCCAGCCCCA